TTCTTACCTAAAGAACAACAGGATATAAGAAAGAAAAAATTAAAAAAGAAATAAAAAAAAAAAGAGAGAACTAACTACAAAACCTAAACGTAAACCAAAAGAAAAAAAGAAAAGATAAAAAAAAGAAGAACAAAAAGAAACATAAAGGCACTATTTTTGCCTATGCTTAGCTTTAAAAAATTCTATATAATACTAAATAAAGAATACTTTACATTTTCTTTATCTCTATATTATAATATATTCTATTTGTTATGTGAAGAAAATAGTTGAAGTTTTTATTTTTCTTTTGAGTTTGACACATGTCATCTATTGTAGGTCTGATACTTGTCTCATGATTTTCTTATGACTAATATTACTGATTTGAAAAGGTAAATAGTGTTGATCCTTTGGAGGAGGTATGCCAGATTTTCTATTTTTTGGTAAAAATTTCAAGAAAAAAATCTAATAGTGAAGGCAGAAAGGAAAACCAATTTGAAAAGAAGTTGTAAGAGTTACACTATATAGAATATTATGTTAAAACAAGTAACTATTTAGGCCTAAGCTCTTATAGCACTTAATAAAACTCCAAAGCTTATCTACTACTTCTTTGCTTGGTAGTACTTGTGTTTTACCAAAGGACTTTGCTTACAAGGGTTTGAGTTTTTTTTAGCTCTTTTCAGTTACAACCAAGCATGCAGTAAATAGTCTCACTAGTTACTCCAAAGTAGAGTTTTGTTATATTTAAATATAATAACTATATGGTTTTTGTAGGTCAGATTTTTGGAAAAAGTTGGTATGAGGGATTATCAGAAAAGTAAAAAAATTTTAATTTATAAAAACTTTTTTTATAAATATATCTATATAATTACTAATTAATTAAAATTATTATTAATAATTACTAAAATTATATTTATTCTAAATAATAGTTTATTATAATTTTATTAATATTTTATAATTGTAACTTTTTTAAATATATATTCTAAAACTATATTCAAGCAAAAAGATTAAATATAACAATTAGTAAGGAACATTAGGCAGACTTTTTAAATAGATAATATAGAAAGTTATATGAATAGCCAATTGTATACTCTTTTTGTAGTAGCTTTTACTAACTACATTTTCAAAAATATGTTAATAAAAGTCAAAAGACCAAAGAGATTACCTTAATACTAAATATATATATATATATTTTTTAAAATTAATATATAGTTAGATCTCTTTATAGTTATACTTATATAATTATATTTATATTAGCATTTAATTTTGTTAAATAAATTGTCATAAAAATATATATATAATCTTTATATAAGAAAAAATAGTGAACCTAGTATAGTAGTTAGGTTGTTATCCTCCAAATAGCAAGTATAAGGTTCAAATTACATCTATAATGAAATTTGAAAATTATATCTATGTTATGTTAACTGTCTCCTATCAATCAGTTGGTCTCATGTGACTGTAACCCAGATATACCAAGTCAGTTTCTACTGACATTGAGAGCTTGAAACATCTATATGAAATATAATATTACATATACATAAAGGAATATATTATTGGTATTGTATAAGACTTCAGTGCAAACCCATGATAAAACCACTAGATATAGAAGACTAAGAAACTAAGTAATGAAAATCCACTTAGAAATTCCTAAGTAAAGAAGTAATATGAACTTTCAATAAAACCATCAGACTGGTTAAAGTTTACAAAACACCTTTATAGGAACTAAAGGTTAAACCAGATGTCAAACATATATAAAGAAGCATATAACCAACCAGGCTGCTAGATTCGCCAGTAGAAAAGAATACAAAAGTATACTATACTGAGCTATCTAAATTAGTAGTCTGGAAGAAACTGCCAGTTCCAAGTTGTAACTGTAGGAAATGATGAAGAAGATGCTGAAAAGATAGGTACTAGAGTTCTAGTAAACTTTACAAATATAAAAATAGTATAATATAATAGTTAAACAAGTAACCTCTATAACTGCAAGTGTTAGATAACTATAACATGTTGTATAAAACTAGTTCTATATGTGTAAGATATAAAAGGTTTTAGTAAGTTTCTTGTTAAAGATAAAGTAGTTTTAAGGGTAATGACTAGCATCATGAACTTGAATGAGTGTAACCTTGAGATGTTCTCATTATACAAGAAGAATTGCATATGTAAAGAGTTTAAATAGACAAAACCTCTAGTTGGCTTGTAGGTATGACAACTAGTGTAGAACTTATATAGCAATGTGTAAGCAGACTACTTAAATTAGATACCAAAAGTGCACATGTAACTAGTTGTAACCTCCAATGTATAGGTAGCTTCTGAAGGTATGCTGTGTCCTATATACTTGAATAAAAATGTTGCATTCTCAAAACAGAAACTTTAACTATAAATAATAATAATAATAATAATCTTTATATAAGCACAACCATTTTATAAGCATATTTCTAAAAAAGTTACTATTATCTTAACTACATAATTATAAAAAGAGTTAACTGTACTATACTAATAGATATTAATTATATAATATAAACTATAATTTGTATAAATTACAAAACTTATAGTATATTGAATTTAGCAACTACTTACTATTTGAATATGCATTTTACAAAATTAATTTATAGTTTTTATATTAGATTTATATAATTATTTTATAAATATTATATTATTTTATTAAATTTAAATAGGTTTTTAATTATTTTAATAGATTTAAGTTATAAATAAATTAAATAGATTATATATTTTATATTTTTTTATAGTTAGAGTTCATTTTTATAACAAATTTATAATTAAGTAAATTTATATAATTTATATTTAGAAAAGCTTCTGAAAATATTTTTAATAAATTAAAAATAATATAAGCTAACTCTTGCCTTAACTTAAAAAAATTTTACAATATTATTTTATAAATAAATTAAATATTTTTTTATATTATTAAAGACTATTACAATTATATACTACTTAATTTAAATGCACAAAAACCTTTTTATATTATTTTTAAAGTAAAATAAAAGACAAGAATCTAAAAAATATTCATATTATTTTGTTACTTTAATATTTTTTTTTATTAATACAATTATATTATATTATAATTATAAACTTATTAAAAAAATATTATTTAATAGATATTAAGTCAAATTAAAAAAGATTGATCTATAAATTATTCAATAAAAACTTAGTATGTACAAACTTGTTGCAAAATTTAAAATATTGTTGTATAATAACCTTTTTGCATAATAGCAATAGTATGTTCATATATTATTTTATAAAAGTTCTAAGATCTTAAAATTTTTTTTAATTATACTTTTAACAATACACAATATAATTAAATAAGTATATTAAAAAACAAATAGTAAGTTTTGATTAAAATTTTGATTTGCAACTGTTACATCAAAAGATCATATTTTCACTTTAACATGATTATCATCCAATAACTAGTCTCGTTTGAATGTAAAGTTACACCAAAGAGATATAACTAAATGTTAATTTTTTCAAAACTCAAAAACGTGTATAAGAAACCACCTTTTATACTCACATAAAAAAAATTTTTCTTGAATGATTTCATTATATCATATAGACTAACCTAATTTAAATGAACTTAAAGATGTTTTAAACCTGTCACATGAAAATGACAATTTAAGGCGATACTAGGAAGGTCCAACTGGAGTAAGCCTACAGCACCTACCAGTTCATGCGAGCATCTACCAATTCGGGTAATTTTTGTACCTACTTCAAACTGCCACTAATATTGTATCTACCATAACTTAGAGTAGGTACAAACCACATGACTGTTAAGTGTTTGTAGATTTACACATTCAACTGATGGCCATGATCATAGGTTTCCCAAATCAATAAGATTTGATAAGGTGCACCTAACAATCAAGCGATTTCAGTGACTTCTTTTTTTTTAATCAGCAAATTCACACAAAGTTTTGCAAACCGCTATAATAAATATTCATTGTATTTATACACGATGATTAAATAAAAATATCAAAAAGCAGGTAAATTTGATTAAAAATTTTGATTTGCAATTAAGATCAGCTGATGCAGGGACAGTGATTTTGCACACAGAAAATTGTGTACAGGTTTGTGGCACAGACCAAATTCCTTAAAATCTTTAAGGTTAGTGTTAGAGTCAGGGTTAGTTAGGAGTTAAAAGTAATTGTAACAATAAAATTAGCAACCGAAAACCTTTGTTAGAGCACAAATGATGGTTTCTTTTGCTGATTGAGTTATGGGAGATTTTTAGAATATTCCTGATCGTGTTACGTTACCCATAATCTTGAAATCTGATTTGTAGTTCAGATGTACCGGTACACATTTTGAAATCATATGGTAACAAATTTCAAATTATTTGACGTGAAGTGAAAAATATTTGCCAAATTATGTATATAAATGGCCAAATTATATGCACTTCTGTAGTAAAATTTGTCCGGACTTTTCGAATTTTGTTTCGAAAAATTTTCATGACTTTGCTCATAATTTGAGGAAGATACAGTATCCACTAGATTCTATCATCAACTTTCCAATATATTGCTATATTTACATATTTATGAATTCTTTGGCGTTATTTGAAACAAATAAAATCACTCTCTGAATTGATGGCCCTGATCACGGGCTTAACAAATTAACCAATCAGATTGCCTTAATCGAACAGGCACTTAAAATTTTAATAGTATAGAAGACGAATGATATCTGAACGTAAGGGTAAAATATTACCTCCATGACTAAGTTATAATATTATTAAATCGATAATAATTATTAGTAATCGTATTTTTAATTGTCAAAATATTGACGTTACTTTATTATTAAATATTTAAAGGTAAAATGCACACTGTGACATACTACTGTACTAAACAGATGAACAATCAATGAATATTGCCTATTCATTAATTCATTATAACTTTAACGTCAATAGAGAAATACTGCATAGGAAGGTTTCTCCTAAAAGCATACTTAATAAGCCTTATTCTGACTATAAATTCTTCTCATAAAATCTCTAGAAAAGGGGGTTTTTTTTTAAAAAGTCAAAAAAAATGTTGGTGCTTTATTTTTTGCTAGCGTGTTTTGCGTTGTATTATATTTTTAAATCGAATACACCGCGTGGCCTAAAGAAACTTCCTTCACCACCGGGTAGCCGATTTTATTTTGGTTAGTGTAAATTGGATTGACAATCTTCATTGCAAGTCTTGGGGAAATTTGCTTAATAAGATTTAGGTTCATGTAACATGAAAATTTATGATAAAATTTCATTTTTATGCTGGTAATAAATAAATAATGCGAAAGATATACTTGGGAATATTGAATAAATGAATGAGAACTAGTAAAAAAAAAAAAAAAGATTTCAGGTAGATTACATGAACCTAAATGGCTTTAGGATGAAAAAATAATCAAAAAACCTTTTTTGTAGGCCATTTTTTTCAAATTGGACGTGAACCACATAAAAAGTAAGGAAGGCAAAAATGTATTAATTTATATAAGAATTAATTGAATGACTTTGATAATCTAAATAGATTTACAGAATGGGCGAGAAGTCTAGGCGATATTTATGGAGTACATATGGGTCAACAATATTGGATCATATTAACTGGTGATAAGGTTGTTAGTGATCTTTTACAAAAGCGTAAGTTCTCACACTAATTTATTGCAAGCTAACGGTTTAGTTGAGTTGGTAATTGAATAAATCTTTAATAATAGGTGGTGGAAAATATTCAACTCGTATAACAAGTTATTATACTTATGATTTATTGACTAGAGGAAAAAGTTATTTTGGTTGCCCATATAATGAAAGGTATAAGATGCTTACACCTATTAGTAAGTAATTGAAAATACATGTTATTCTTTATTTATTTTCTTATAATGTGAAGTGTCATAAAATTCTATTCAAAAATAGTGCATGGAGCTCTAGGTCAGCGTAATATAAAAGAAAACTCTAACTTACTCGATGATGAATTTCGTATACTTATGCAAAACCTTTGTAAAGCTTCAACAAATGCAAAAGATGGATTTTATCCTAAATATTGTTTTCAACTCACAAGTTTAAACATTATAAACCTCTTATGTTTAAACAAGCGCACAGAAAGTACTGAGGATCCATATTATAAAGAATTTGAAACTTTAATGGGAGAACATTCAGAAATTGCTAAAATAACAAATAGATTATCTGAATTTTTCCCAATAATGAAACTTATTCCAAACTATAGTTTGCGCAATAAAATAATAGAAAATAGAACAAAAATTGAAGCTTTTTTCGAAAAATTGGTCAAAGAAGTTATGGATAGTAAAGAGAAGAAGCCTTGTATTATTAGAAATTTACTTTGCAAGAAGGATGAAGGAATTCTTGATGATCTAGATGTTATTTACCTAGTATATGTAATCTTTGCCGCTGGAACTGTAAATATTATGAAAGTGTCGTTTTTTTTTCAATATAAGCCTTAATATTATTGATATTTAAATTTTTAGGACACAATTTCATCAAGTCTAACATGGATTAGTGCCGCTTTAGCCAATAATCCAGAAGTTCAGTATAAAGCTCATCAAGAGCTTGATAGAGTAATTGGTCACTCTCGTTTACCAGAAGTTTCTGATGAACTAAATATTCCTTATACGCGTGCTATAATAAAAGAAAGTCTAAGATATTGTGCACCAATTTATCTTGGTTTACCTCATGGGATTGAAGAAGATGACGAATATAACGGATATCATATTCCAGCGAATTCTGTTGTGATTTTAAATCAATATGGAATTCATATGGATGAAAAAAGATATGAGAATCCTAAAGAGTTTAAACCTGAAAGATTTTTAGGAGTTACAGAAAGCAGTGCAGCTTTAGCAAATGGGAATTATGAAAACAGAGACCATTTCGGATTTGGAGCTGGAAGAAGGCTCTGCACTGGAATTCATATGGTATACACAATATTTTAGAATAATAATTTAAAATATTTATTAAAGAAAATATTAATTTTCTGTATAAATCTTAAAAATAGGCTGAGATGGAACTTTTATTAGGAGTTTCTCGCCTTCTATGGTGTTTTAAAATAGAAAATGCGTCACCGTTAGATAAAGATGGTAAACCAATACCAATCGACTTAGATAAAATACGCTTTGGTATTACTGTTTGGCCTGAAGAATATTGTGTTAGATTTGTAAAAAGGCATGATAATGTCGAAAAGGTTTTATCTATCTAAGCCAAATTTAGATATAAAGGTGCTATTGAGATCTCTTTCAGTATACTTGAGATAGGGATCCTATCATTTCCCGACAACTAATTGCCCTAAAATGTCAAAATCTTGACAAATTAATATAACTTCCATCAATTTTTGTCGGGAAATGATAGAAAACCTTTTAAATAAATTATTAATTTTTATTAAAGATGTCATCCATACCATCCATACTGCAAGAGGATTGTAATACTGAAACTATTGCTAATATGTATTTGCAGTCAAACCTCAGTTATATCACCCTTTTTGACTAGAGTTTATGGATATATAACTCAAGTAGGTAATACTGTAATTGAGTGCGTGAGAGTGAAAACCTGGAAACCGATTTAATGATTTACTATGATCGGTTTCCAGGTTTTCACTCTCACGCACTCAATTGATAAATAGTTTAGGTTGGGATATAACTTAGTGGAGATATAACTAAGGTTTGACTGTATTAGTGTTATAATAATTTTGTTCAAAGTTTATATTCAAATTCTTTATTAATAAAGAAATTTAATAATCTATATTTTGCCCAAATTTTATGAAAATGGAGTATGTTGTAGATCACGGGTAAATTTTTTAAATGACCAATGCACTTACAAAATTTGTTTCCAGGATTATTTGACCAAAAACAAATTGTCGGTTTAATTTCCGGGTATAAGCTCATAAATTCTCTAACATTATAAGGTTCTTCCTATGAAATTTCAAGAATGGTTAAAAATAAATCCTAAAATACTCTTATCCACTAAGTTGGTCAATTTTTTTTACGATTTTTAACATTTGTTTATTCAATATATGATTTATATACTGCATAAATTACTTTCTTGATATTCTATATAACCCAATATCCATAAATGCATCAAAAAGGTAACTCTAAAACTCGCTCCGCTTTAGCCGACCACCAAAATAAGTAATAAGTAAACATCAATTAAAATAAATTTAGTCCCTGCATCACTTATAAACAAACGGTAAAAATTGACCAACTTCATGGATAGAATTTATGAAATTATACCTGGAAATTAAGCCGACAGCTTCTTTTTAGTTAAATAATCCTAGAAAGCAAATTTTGTACAAATTTTACTTATAAAATTTGGATGCATTGATCATTTGACCTACTATTAAAAATTTTATATGCGCATTCTAGTCCGACTGGTAAGTAAAATAATAAGTTACGGCTATAATGTCATGACGACTATCATAGGGACGATTTTACTGTACAGTACTGGGGTGGTAAATCAACTAACCTACAGTATATCAGCAATATTAGTAATTTTACTATTATAAGATTTTTAATCAGTGAAATTAAAATAATCGATTAAATATCATTTTGATATATATTGAATTAATAAATCACACACAATTTCTAAAGAATGCACCTTGACATTGGACTTCTTTTTCTAATTTCTTTTAATTAAAATTTCTTCACAGAAGTCATCTCTAAAAAGTTACGCTCGATTTGCAAAAAATTTATTAAAAAAATTTCGACTTGTACAGTACATTTAAATTCTAATTAATTAATGAAATTTATTTGATTTATTAAAAAGAATGTTCAAAGTTACTTGAGAAAATTTCAAGCTAATTCTTTGAGGTTTCAATAAGGTGCATCGTTTTAAAATAATTAATTTTAATAAATATATATATAGCGATCAATAATATACAATTAACCTTAATAGACATTAAATTGATTTTCACTCGTATAACATAAAGATCAAAATCTCATAATTTGCTCACATAGTTTTGATTTAATTAGTTGAATTACCACGTATAGTACTGTATGACTTTACAATCATATTATGTTGATATTAATTATCTTTTATTTAATTTCAATTTTACTAGGTGGTTGATTTTACACGAGCACTACGCAAACTAAATGATACTTATAAATTCGCGTAAATGCTGTTGCTCCTGGATTTGTAGGTAAGTTAAAGAAAACTATTTTCATTATTTACTATATCTTTTTGTTTTTTTTGTTTTTTTGTTATCTGGAAATTACCGACCCTAATATAACAGATAAATTTAAATGAATAATAAGATACAAATTTAGTGCAAAGAATGATCAAAGCACAACAAAAACATTTGAGAACTTTGGAGGATTTATTCCTATTGACGAAGTGACTAATGCTTTTATAATGATCATTCAATATTCTTAATTCTTTATAAGAATAATTCACAAATTATTTCAAAGTCATTATTATAGGTTTTAAGGTCGAGTGGTTTAGCTTGTAATATTTATTTTCCAATTTGACTAAAGTTTAATTAATACCAGATACTGGATAATTGATAGTGTTTAATAAAAATAAATTTAGTTTTCTGTACAATATCACGAAAATAATTCTCTCAAATCATAAAATTGGGACAACTTGATGTGGCAAAAATAAATAATAATAAGAAATATCTTATATCAAAATATAACTCGGGGTACTAATATAAAATGCCGGAAAGAAATTCTATAAAGCCCTCACCTAACTTTACATTACCGGTAATCATAATTTTAATTAAATAATCAACATTATGAGGTTGAGCATGGCTTTGGCTATCACTTGATTTCCGGAGAAATGATGAATTGCTAGCAATAAATAGCGATAATTATACTTTGTACTATATAAATGCATGGTGATTCGCCCCATCTACAAAAAATCATCCCGGGTGGTGATTAGATTACTCGCCAAATATCTTCTATTCTGATTTATAAAATGAGTTACTCAGTAATTGCAGCTAAAAAAAATAAAGATTATCAGATCGCTTTGGCAAATTTGTAATAGTTTCAACATCTATGATCTATGGTTGAGTTGCTCCAATAATAAAATTATAAGAATACTGTTGAACTGTCAAAATTGATAATCTATAAGCTGTCAAATCTGTTTCTGTTATATAAATTTAATCGTTTATAATGCTTTCAAATTCACCTCTTAGCATGCTTATCGGTTTAACAGTAATAACCATAATCAAAATTATAATGTTTTCAAATCTAATCACCTCTTACCATTCATATCGGTTTAACAGTAATAATCATAAACAAAATTATAACGCGTAATATAATTATTCAAATTTAAGACAGTATTCAGAGCAATAAAAAATGTATAATTTAATTGGTGCTTACTATAATAAGTTGTACTCAAATAAAAAACATAACTGATAAATTAATGATTTCAATATAAATAATAATGAAAGAATAAGTAGGTTATAAATTGAATTTGTTAATAAATGAGTGAATTCAATATAAATAATGAAAGAAGTAAGCTATAAAAATTGAGTTATATAAATAATAATAAATGAATGAGATAAGTAAGCCATAAATTGAGTTATATAATAATAATAAATGAATGAGATAAGTAAGTTATAAAGTAATATTACTACCATACTTTCGTAAATAGAGGACATGGACGTTACTTAAAAAAATCAAGACTTCCAAAAATAAAAGTTTCAAAATAATGTCCATGTTCATATTGGGATAATTCACATGCACGCACACATAATCTAATATGCGCGCAAGTGGATACTATTATGTATTACGATAAAATACGGTATGTTATACGTATCAACTTAATTTTTCAATTAACCAATCAAATTATCCAAAAAGAAAATGTCGAACAACTTCTGAATATCATCAGTTCCTAAAACGGTTTCATTTGATTCTTTTATAATAATTTTCACAATAGTTTCCATTCATCAGGTGCTTTTAATTCTTTAATTTTATCTGGTTGGGTGACGAATTCCATAACTAATCCTGATTGTACATGCCACTAAGAAAAATAATATTATTATTAAAATCAAAGCAAGTACCATATATTTGAAATTTTAAGTGATTATAATGATTATATGAAATTACCTCAATATGACAGTGAAATCCCCATACACCAGGGTTATCTGAAACAAATCGAAGGACAACCCACCTAGTAACAAAAATAAAAATATTGTTAATATTATTAAACAAAAATTGACAAATTTAAAATAACAATTAACGTACCCTTGAGCAGGAACAGTTATAGTATCACGTTGTATCGGATTTTTGAGATTTAAATATTTATAATCTGGGCTTGTGCCATTTTGACCAATACCAAGCACCCAAAATACATGACCATGCTAGTAATAATTGCTTATCAACGTTAATTACAGAATTATATTATGGTAAAACCATATATTTATTCAATACTTTACTATGGTCAGTCTATAAAATAAATCAATTATTTTATGGTATTTTTACGTGATAAAATTATTGATCGTATTTCATAAACTTAGATTGTAAATCATTGAATAAAACCGTTATTGCATGTTCCCGTATGCATCAATTGCTGTATCTTTTGATCATTCGGTAACCCAGCCGTTCAGGCTGGGCTATCATCGCCCATAAAATAAGCAGTTATTGCATACTTCGCATGAAATAACTATATAATATTTTTTATACATACCAAATGGAATGGATGCATACCAGTATCATTATCTAAATAGTTAAAAAGAATGTATAATATATAAAATTATTAATTACAACAATTAATTACAATAATTAATTATAAACAATTAATTATAAAAAGAAAACATTTATATAATTCATACTTGACAAAATAATATCAACAACTTTATTTTTTTCAATTACGTAAACATTTTGATCAGCTGAATATTCGTTCACATTATCGAATACTTTATAAAGTGTAGGGTAATCTGCATCCAATATATATGATGAATTGTTTATGTATCCTCTTACAATGCCATTATCATCTGGATGGAAGTTAACATCTATTGTTAACTTATAGTCAACGTCAGGAATATTTTGTTCATTATAAGGTATTAGATTTGATGAATTCAAGTCTACACAATTTTCAGGGGTTTCAGCCCAAGCTACCGAATTTGGAATATCATCAATATCATCATGACCGTCATATTCAACAATCGCTTTTACGAGAGAATTTAGCTGATCTGATTGAGTGGCTAGACAAGTTGTTTCCATTTCTGAGCGCATCCAATATTTTCCTATAGGTTTATCAGCTGTCACAATAACAGAATAACGTTGGGCTATATTAATAGGGAGACGGTGAATTGTGTGACGCTTGGTCATCATTCCTTCAACTTCAATAACATCCATTGGATGTTCATCGATTGAAAAAATAAATTCAGCAAAAGCACTAGTGAAAACAAACAAACAAACCAATAAATAAATAATTTATGCGAATAACTCAAAGAAAATAATAATAATAATAATAAACTTAACCTTGTATTGATAATTCTAAATCGGTATCTCTTTCCTTGAACAAATTTGAAGAGTGCTAATGGAGCATCACTAACGCATTCGCTATTTGCTGGTGCCCAGGAGCAGTTGTAAGAATTCTTTCCATTAATTAAACCATTATCAGGTGTTGGTTCACTTCCATTTACGTTTGCAGGATTCATGAATGCAGCCGACAAGATCTTTGAATCATTATGATACCAATCTTGTAGTAATACTATAATTTCATCATCATAATCATCAAGATAAGGATCATCTGGATCATAAGCTATAAGGGGACCAACAATTCCTTCTATGTATTGAGCATTCGAATGTGAATGGCTTTTTTTTTTTTTTTTAATATTCGTGTTAAATAAAATTATGCTTATATATTTGTCATTTCACATGATTGATTATTTAATAAATGCAACTTACTACCAGTAAGTCCCACTTTGATCCACTTTAAATTCGTAGGTAAATGATTTTTTTGGTGGAATGCCGCGCTGTGTTTGTCCAGGAACACCATCGTACCAAGGAGTCCCACGTTGAAACATTCCATGTGAATGAATCGTGGTTTCATTTTCTAAATCATTATAAATATTAAGAACTAAAGTGTCACCTTTATTAACTTTAATGAGAGGACCGGGAAATTGACCATTTATAGTGTACATTTCCCGAGTAAAACCGTCAGGTGCTAATTTTTCTTTAGAGATAGTAATGTCATAAACTTTTTTATCATGTCTCTTGTTTAGGTGGTTAGGATATGATGAAAATTTTCTTGTGAATGATAGTGAGGGAAATAATAAAAGTAATGAAACCGTTAAAATAGAAACCAACGTTAAAATTTTCATTAAAATCATTTTTGATCAAGAAGTTGAAAACATGATCTAATGAACTGGCATGAGAGAAAATAAGCTTATATATGTAAAATGACATATGACTTTCCGTCTGCATAAAATAAAAAAATCATAATAATTTTTGGTACTCTCTTATCTTACATAACAGATGTGTAAAAGTTTAAAAAATTCATATAGATAATATGTAATCAACACATTATTTTGTATTTTGTGCTCTTAGTTCTGTTAACATCGAATGTGCAGCATTTTTTTTTTGTGCTTATCTCCGAATGTATTATACAAAAAAAAATTCGTTTAAGGATTGTATAAGTTTTCTATTATTAGATCAAGCTATCAGAAGCTATCAGAACAAAAAGAAAATGAAATATATTGTGTAATATTTATTTTAACACAGAATTTGTATTCACTTTGGCTTTGATAAAGAGATGATTGGTTTTTTTTCTTTATTACGTAATGCAGTTACTAGGAAATTTACATTACACACGTATTCCTAATTGCTAATATAGATTAACTTAAAAAACTTTGTAGAGCATAATTTGTGCAATTTGATTAACTAGGAAATTAGAAAACCGGAATCTGATAAAGAATCTGATAAAGAATCTGATAAAGAATCTGATAAAGAATCTGATAAGAATCTGATAAAGTTTTGATGCATTCGTATGACAATAAAATCTGATAATGTACGTATGTACCTATTTACGCATTATAGCATTTTGTTATACCAACTAAATCCAGAATCTGATAAGATAAAATCGGATTACAACGTTTGTTATACTGACTGCAAAACAATTAATTCTCGAATTTCATTGGTTAATATTGCATGATCGTGCATTTACTTTATGTTTTAGACAAAGAAAAATTTTCTAATAAATGAGCGTATACGTATTTGTCCATTTGACTGAAGTTGCGATGAAATCACACTTGACCAGAGCTGCTATTTAATTATGCAAGATCTAATTTATTTAGGTGGGTCAAATGCTAATTTCAGTCAGAAACAACTTCAAGCATCTGCCTAAGACATAACTTCAACTATAATATAAATATTCCTATGTTATCTTTAAATAGAATCAAATTTATTGTAAATTATTAAAGAATCTAAATGATCAAAACAATTTCGAGTTACATGAGTTACATAATTCATATATAAGTATGTGCTAAAAATAAATTTAGCAGGCATAATTTAAACAAATGAGGACAGATACGTGATAAATAAATCCACATTGTCAAAATCTGGCCTTTATCAGCAAGCCACTATCGATGATAAAATTTTCTAGATTATCAGCATTAAAAAATATGTAAAATAAATAGATTTTTATTTAAGAACCTTCTTTTTTGATTAGTAATGGAAATTGTTACATCTGTTATGAAATAACATTATATCTGATTTGTAACTATAAATTAGGCGAGACTAGTTTGATTTTTTTAGTTAACATGTCTGATGAAATTATTTTACAATGCATAATATTTTATTTATAGTCTACTGTGCGTAACTGTTAAATAAATAATCTAATATATAAGTGCATCGATCCTTTAGATGACTTGCACATGATTGATCTTTACTAATAAGCGTTCTAAGTGTGCATCGCGGCACCATTATTGCAAAGGCGGTATGATACACAGTAAATAAATTTAGGGTATTCGCAAGCAGCAATCTTGATTGATTTGCTAATGATTGTGATGCACAACCATCATAACGTCATGTAATTAGACCACTCACGAAGACAATAATATAAATTCTTGTTATTTAATAGATATCTGAAAATACCTCGTATCCACAGATATTCATTAAATAACTAGATTATTCCACAGGTAACGCGTAACAACCCGTGCAACACGTTAACGAATTAAACTTTTTATCTTTTCAAGAGCAGAAAAAATCTCTCGTTCAAAGAACACTAATAATTGTTTATTAACTATTAAAGAAAGAAAATAAAAAAACGAAAACAATTATCGCCAGGACAATTGCAACGACCATTATGTGAACCATACAAAAAAAACCATTACTATAATACTAAATATTAACAAATGATAATGTTCTCTAAATAATAAAAAATATTTTTATAATTAAAGTATTTAAAAAAGAACTAGTTCTTTATCAAATAACAATTTTAAAAATCTTTCTCAACATATGACAATTTAAAAAACTTAAATAAAATTCATCCTTGTACACGACAATTTAAGAAACCCAAATCTAAATAAAGTTTTGTCTAATTTAAAAGACTGAAACCTAATAAAGTTCTTTCTAGCACACAACATTTTAAAGAACCTAAATAAAGTTTTTCCTAACACATGATAATTTAAAAGACCGAAACCTAATAAAGTTCTTCCTAGCATATAACAATTTAAGAAACCGAAAGCTAAATAAAATTCTTTCTAGCATACAGCAATTTAAAACTCTTAAACCTACATAACATAATGATTTATGACATGATTATTCACATCGATCTATATGAATCATTTTCATATAAACTGATAGAAATATCCTTGTCAAAAAAAACACAAGTTGTTACATAGTACCCATGGTATAAATAAATTGATAGTTCAAGTAAAATCTTAAACCAATCAAGTAAAAATGAGTTATCACATAAATAATATATTGCAGTACTGTAAATATGTAATATTATGGTGTTTTAAATTATAGCATTAAACAGCATACGCATATTAGCACAATGGCATACAAAGTCAAAAGAAATAATTGTCCTATCAGAAGTCAAGAATTAGCTACTTCACTCAACTTGCTTGCAAACCATACTCTTTGTAAACACAACCAGAGCAGACCCAGTAATAATTCGTTTATAACAATAATTTCAATAGCTGCCCTGGTCGTGTCTTTGTATTTTATACTCTATTCCTGAAAAGCTTCTATAGTAAAAATTAAAAAATAATCTACAACTTTGATTAGAAGACAAAAAAAGAGTTGCCTTGTAAAAAAAACACTTTTATATGTGATGAACCTTATTTTTCGGTGTTACTTAAAGAGGTATAGTCGGAAGATAAAAGTAGTTGCGTATAATATCAAAAATAAAAATTGTATGGACATACGTAACACGTATGATAATAAATATTTCAGCTATACTAACAATTAGTTATTATTAGATAATTATATATATTAGAGCAATTACATAAAGTTTTTTTTTTACAATCAGTTTGATAAAGCAAATATTAAAGCAATTCTTTAAGAAATTTATTATTTCAAATCAACTAGTGAAGCAAAAAAAGCATATAAATTATAATTAATGTTTTAACCCATGTTCACGCTCTTTAATTAAATTAGAAATACATAATTCTCTTGATTTTTCCTTTCTTTCTTCGAGTTGTAATAATCGTTCTTCATACTCTAATTTTTCCATTCGCAACATTTGTGTTTCCTTGGTATTTTCTTTATTTATAGTAACTTCATCATTAGTTAAATCAATTTCTTCAATTTTTAAAGGTTGTTTTAACTTTTTATTGTTTACTTGTAATGTATTTGATTGAATTTTTCATTTTGCACATTTAGATTGCTGATTATTTATAAATATAAAGACTAATATAAATATAATATAATATATAATAAATTATTTCAATTTAGATATACTTACTATTTTATCTAATTGATAATTTTTTTTGTGCAATGCTGCTTTTGTCATAACCATTAGGACTAATATTGTATTTTTTTTTAGTTTCAATTTTTTTAAAATTATGTAAATCTAATTTTTGTCCTCTAAACAAACAAACAAATAAATAAATATTTAATAAAAATCAAACTATTAAATAAATTAATAAAAAATTAAATACTTTAAAATTGCTGTTAACAATTTAAGCTGTTTTTCTTCATTATTGCTTGTAGCATGAGTTGCTTCTGTGACATTTGTACTATTTGGTGTTATATACTAAAAATTATTGAAAATATGGATTGAGTAATACAATAACATAGAATTTTTAATAATATTAAACCCAATTTATAATTATAAATTAATTATTATTAAATTATCTTAAATATAATTATATTTAATTTAAAATATTTATCTATAAATTTGTTATCATTATACTTTAATAATTTATTAAAAACTAATTCTACTTTTTTTAAAGTTGCTACTAATAATGCTTTTATATCAGCTCTAATATCATCCTTAAACTGTTTTTTATTTAATTTTCTAAACTAAAATATATTAATAATAATTAGTATTAAATTTAATATTATTTATATAAATTAATAATAATTAGTATTAAATTTAATATTATTTATATAAATTAATAATATTACTATTTGTAATAAAATTAATAAATTTTAAAAATGTATATTAAATATTTCTTCCAATTATAAGTATTATCAATTGAAGCTAAAGCTTCATCTAATCTAAGAATTTATACTATATTAAGATCATCTATTATGCAACCTTATTTTTCACTATATATATGTTTAATACTTGGTAATATTTCTATTAATTGTTTAATACAATTAAGCAAAACTTCAAACATTTATTAATAAACAAATGTAGTTAATTAATTTATAAAAATTTAAGCAAAAGTTAAAACTAATAAATGTTTTATAATTAATTAAAATATAATATATAATTTTATAAAGATATAAATAAATCTGATTATAATAATTTATTTTAAATTCATTAAATTCATTAATAACTCTTTTAAAAAATAAATTTATTTCAAAATATTCATATTTAATTCATTTTTTTAGTTATATTTAAATAATACATACAATTATAATTTAATTATTATCAAAAAAATCTAAAATATAAATTTATAAATTAATAAATTAAATTAAAACTATATAATAAAATTTTTGCTATCCAGAGTGTATCATCTATGTAAGCTAATACTAATGTAGATGCATAGAGACTTTGAGATCTAGATGGTTAAAGGTGAGTCTTTCAAGTTGTAGATAATGAGTAACCTTTATATTGAGATGCAATTCTGTGGATAAGTGGGTTATAATAAATGTGCCAGAATAGTGAAGTTATTGTTTCTTTTTGATCTATTCTATTTTTAACTGTATATGGGTTGGTTAAGCCAAGGTTGGTAATTACTCTGTTTTGACAGTCTGTTAATAAATTAGTAAGTATATTAATTAACTTAAAAGGCATATTGATATGAATTAATGCTTTTTCAAACAGATTCAAATTAACTGAGTTATATGCTTTGCTCATATCTTGAGATATAAGCTAAAGTTGTTTAGAATTGCAAGATGCATCTTCGATTATATTATTTAAGATATGTATAAGTATAGCTGTACTATTGCCTGGCAGAACAATGTAATTATAAGGTAATAAAATCTCATGTTTGGTGAATACTTGGTTTAAGCAATTTGTGAAAAGTTTTGTATATAATTTTTTGACATGTTCAAGAAAGCTAATAGGTCCAATGTTGATTAAGTTGCAGTCAAAAATAGGTTTTTTGGAAATTAGAAAAATTCTATCCTCTTTCCATTACTTAGAAATTTAGTTTAAAGTAATACATCTATTTAGGAGGGTTGTAATTGCTTAAAGAAAGAATATGTCTGCATGTTTTAATATTTCATAACTAATGCCAGAGGGACTACAGGCCTTGTTATTTAGAAGGTAAGATAATGTTTCAGTCACTTCAGTAATAGTAAATTTTTTAATAATATTATTGTACTACTTAGAGTTAATGTGTATTTTGTAGTTATATTCTTTTTTCTAGTTAGATTCAAAGATTTAATAGTTGGTATGTCTAAAGAATGTCCATTGGTCAAAGTGTTATTAAATATGCTGTTTGATGTCTTGAGAGTCAATAATTACATTATTGTTTGTTCTAATGTTATCGAATTTGACTGAGTCCTTGTGACAGTTAATATGCTATTAATTATTGATTTTGGATTTGATTGAAGTTTAAAGCATCTTTTAAAAATATTATCATTAATTTGTTGTTTTATTTTTTTGATATTTTCTATATTGTGAGCATAATAAATAGATTTCTATTTAGTTTTAGTAAGTGCTAGCCAGTTTGGCAATAAGTTGTGAACAGTTGGTAGAGTAGAACATTAAGCTGATTAGATATATTTATTTGATTAATAAGGTAATTATGTTAATATAATATAAAAGTAGAGTTTTTTAGTAAGTATTTGATTTGTTTAATAATATTGCCTAATTTTTTAAGATGTTGATGTAAAGATGATACCTTTGTAAAAAAGATATTTTGAAAGTTTCTAACAGTGAATTTTTTATTTAGAATATGTTGTATAGCAGCAGAGATAATACTGTTTTGAATTTTGTACCAGAAAGATTCAAATAATTTTGAAGTTTGTATACAAAGTAGAGTTTTGTTATTATTAAGATTTGAGGTTACTTGGCTTGCAAATTGTTGCCATTTATCTTTATTAATGTTTTTGTATAAGAATGTCCTTCTATAAGTTTTGGAAAATGTCTGAGTTTGCTTATATATATATAAGAAAAGAGCCAATGAGAGTTTAAAATTTTATGATCACTCTGAATACTAGTATTAGGATCATCTATAGTAAAAGAATTAAGATATCGAAGAAGAGGTTAATTAGCCCAAATATAGTCTATATTATACTGATATTTGTTGCTTTGCTAGAAGATAATGAGTTGTGGATATATGTGACCAGATTATACATATTGTTGTATTGAAGAAAATAAACTAACTTGTATTTTATTGAAGAGAAGTAGATGATACTATTAAAAGCATTAAAGTCTCCTAGGATAATTGGTTGGATATTTGATGTGTAAGCTTATTGAAGACATTGTACTATAGTATTTTGTACTAACAGTCTTAGTTAAGTATTATCACATAATAAATAAACTGAAATAATTCTGAATTTGAAGTTATATTTAAAGAAGGTATCTACTATGATAGCATATTCTGAAAAAGAAAGTATTTTGTGAATGTAGGTTTTTATAAACTTGTGAATCATAATGACTGTGCCTGCTTTAGAGCCTTCAATACATGATCATAAGTATGTAAAGTGTTTAGATTTTTGTAATTTAGTAATTAGATTACTGACTGCAATTTTGGTTTCTGTTATGCTAATAATACTGAGGTTGTTGGAAAGATAATAGTCTTCTTATACTTATTGTTTCAGGTCTTTATTAATTCCTCAAATATTATATATAATGATTAATAAATAAAGTTGATTATCATAAAACTGTGTTCTAGATATATTGAAGTTTAAAGAGTAGTAGTTGTTATGATTTGTTATTATTTAGTTTGAAAATATTAGAATAAGTAAGTGTTCATAAGATTTGTATTGAATAGGATTTATAGTTATGTAATTTGAAATAGTAGAATCTGTGACTTTGATATAAATATATGTTTCTGTTTTTTTATTATTAACTGAAATTTTGATTGGATTGAAGAAAAGATTTTTACATAAATGTTTGATAAAGTTATTAAGTGTTATAGATTGTGATAGTAGAGGTATATAGTATTATTTTAAAAACTTATTATAGCAGATGTTTGTTTTTGAGCAAGTTAAAGTATTGGTATCAAAGGCATTATGTATGATATTTTCTACAGATTTGCTCACAGTATGCTTTACTGCCTGCCTATTGTCATCATTCTCCTCTAAAGATAGCCTACTAGGTGTGGAGGACATCATAATCTTAGTGTTGGCAGCTACATTAATGTATTCTGTAGAAGATATTATTGAAAAGAAGGGTTTGTACTTTTCTCTTATGAGGTAAAAATAGTATTTTTAGTTGTTTTTGTAGTTTCTTCTGGAGGTGTAGATATATTTTTTCTACTTCTTAGAAATTCGATGTATCAGGATTCTGTATAAAAAAAGAATTTTCATATTGTTTTGAGATTGAGATTTTAAGATATTAATTATATCAAAAAATCTTCAGCTTCTAAGTAATAGAATTGATTATAATTAATATGTATTTGTTTTAGTAATATTTTAAATTTTATTTCTAATTTAGAATATGTAATAACTCTTGCAAGAGTATAGATGTTATTGATTGTTTGGATTATTTTTCTAGAGCTTCTTTTTTTAGATAAACCTACAAGTCCATCATTGTCTCTTGCTGCTAACATAAAGGCTCTTAGATAGCAATAGAAGTAATATATAGATTGAGCAGTATTACTTGCTATTTTGTTAAGATTTGCAAATATCTTTTTAGTAGATATAGCTAAAACTCTAAGTTTTTCTGTAGATATTAGTATAGAAAAGCTTGCTGCAAGTTTTTGTTTAGATGAAAGATATTGATTTCTAATGTTAAATAAATCCATTCTTTTTGTTCTGATTCTGGTACTGAGTAAGTTTTGAATAAGTTAGTAAAATAGAATTTGGTGATGTTTTCTAAGTTGTGTTCTGTTGATTTGGCTAATAAATTACAGTCTTTGTTAGTACAGAAGTAAATATGATGAAGTGCTGCTTTGAAAGTTATTTCAGAGTACTCTTTAAATGTATATATTGAATCTGATAAGAAATATATTTTTGGTAAAAGTTTTTTGCATTCTTCAGTTAGTTTTTGTGATATTAGCATTTTGATATAATTGTTTGTTTTCTGTTGATCAATTTTGTCAAACTGAATGCTATATTTTTTAAAAAAGGGTTTAAATCAGGCTTTATAAGTTGTAAGATAGGGCTTAAGTGATGGAATTCTAAAATCTTTTAAGAATTTTTCAGATGAAATATTAAGTAAAATATTAATGTTGAATTGATTATTATTTTAAATAATAAATTCGAGTTGCTTTGAGTTGTGTTTAATATCAAAGTAAAATGTAAACCATAGTGGCTTGATGTTAAGTTTTTTCATAAATTTTTTGAAATTAATAATTCTATATTTATAGTTTAGATAAAGGTGTAAACAGGCTAAGTTTGTAACTACTCTAGATCTGTTAGTATTTGAGTAAGATGGAATAGAATAATGTAATCAGAGGATATGTAGGTAGTTCAGTTAAGTAAAAAACACTTTTGTAAATTTGGAGAATAAGCCTTTGAGCATATTATAAAAAGCTTTGAAGGGGATTGGTTTTGATTTATCAAAGTCAGAACTTGAGTTGATGATAAAATCTAATAAGAACTTAGGTTTTTCACTTGTCATTTTGTTAAGAATATAGCTAAAGAAATATTTAGTAAATGGTCTGTTGCTATTTTTATTTTTATCAGATTTGTTTGGAATGATTTGTCTAGAGATAAAGTCTCTAAGATTGAATTTCAAGAGAGTAAATAGTTGTAAAGCTAGTGGTGTGTTAAGTTTATTATATTGCTGCATAGTAGGTATAACAAAGTAATTTTTGAACCAGTCAAAATCTTTTAAGACATCATGTTTTTGTGTTTTTGCTTTTTGATTAGGTTGTTTATTATTGGCCTTTTTCTGTTTATCATTGTTTGAAGATTCTTTTGCATTAAAATTATTGTCTAATTGTTTGTCTGTATTTTTAACTTTTTTGAAAAGTTTGTTTGAAAATTTTTTGAAAAAGATACACTTATCTTTTGCTGATAATTGTAGGTATTTGGTTTTGCAATAAAGACTACATTGTTTTCAATTTATAGAGCTTGTGAATTTGGCTAGCTTTAGTTTAAGTTTATAAATGCATTAAGAGTAAGCTGGAAAGCCACCTACTTCAGTTTTGAATATGAGTGCTTTTGGGTCTAATGAGTGCTTATTATCAGTTAGCATAATACAGAATATATTTTTGGTTTTGCAAATAATACATGTATGTGCATGGTAAGATAAGATGAGGAAAGAAATTTGATTATTAGTATCTTGTCTAATATTACTATAACAGTTAGGGAATGAATGAATAATGTTGTGTTTAGATTGAAAGGATAACTTAGATACATTGTGAAAAAATTTGTAGAGTTTGGCATCAAAGTTAATTTTCATTGAAATGAATGATTTAATTGTAGTTGTAGAAGTAAAATCAGAGATAGATGGCAGAGATAAATGTTGTAAAGTAAAGTATATGTGGTATTTTTCACAAAAACATTTTGTAATAATTGGTTAAATAGAGCTGGAGAAGAAATAGTAGTTATTGTGAGTGTTGCATAGTGTAGGTTAAAATTAGATAAGAGAAGTTTGAAGCATTTATAATTTTTGTTTAAAGTAACTAGTATTCGATCATTATATTTATTCTAAAGAGTATCTAGGTCAAAGAAGTCTGGTTTGACAGTAATGATATTAGGCATTTTGTATAACTATTCTAATATAATATTTGTACTAATATAAAAAATCTTTAAATCAGATCGAATAATCCGATTCTCAGGTAAAATTTTCTAATTTGAGGGCTTTGCAGATAAGTTAAAAAGGATTTGAAAGATGTGAGACCTGTGTTAAGGCTAATGGGATGTTTAGGAAATTTTAATGAGTGTCAGAAAAGTAAAATTTCTGCAGCAACTTAGTGAATTTTCCTAAATTTACCAATGAAATTACCTGTAAACACAGATTTTGGTTTTGTCTTTTTTCAAATATCTCAGTGAGTCTTGGTTTGTTTGCAATATAGTATATATCAAATTGTTTAGAACATGAGCTTGTTCTTTTTCTAATAGATAACAAGGTATATTTAATTAGTAAAATATATAGAACATAGACAAAAACCAATATTTTGGTTTTTGAAATCTTTCTTAGTACCAAAATATTGCAAAAGCATAAATCTTGGCTTTTTAGGAAAAGAAAACTGAGCTGAGCAACTTTACTTAGAAATACAAGTAAGGTTTACTTAACAAAATTTTGAAAAATAATTAAATGTTTTTTAGTAAAAATTTGATATAAATGATCTACAGAGAGAGTTACAGAATTATATTTTTATATTTTTATAATAATAATAATAATGATTACTTGATATTTGGGTTTATCAATTCTAATATATGATAAATCTTAATTGACTTTAATAATCAATGGTTTGTATTATATTTCATATAGTATCACTCTTTTGCAGAATTATTTCTTATAGTAGATTTTTAATTAACAATTAATAACTACATGTTTTAGAACTTTTTACTTATCTTATATAAGATCTTGCAATAAAAATAGAACTTAAAAAGGCTATTAGATAGTAAGTATAACATTTTTTATTAGTAGTTTTATCAGAATTCATATGTTATAGAAACTCAGAATCCCTGCCATCTCTTGAAATCATCAGATCTAAACCTATCTTAAGTGATTATTGAATTCAAAAGAGTTTATATTATTAAAAAAATAACAAAAATAGATTCAGTATTTGGATATTATAACTAAACAGAATTGTTTTTTAAAGAAAAAACTAGCATTAGACTTGGATATCATAATTACTAATATATTTTTTAGATTTAGTAAATTGAATGATATAAAAATGAATGAGTTCTCACCTTAAGATAAGTTGGCAATAATATTGCTTATATATTTATTTTTTTTTAAAAAAAACTTACATACTCATAATTTAATTTTAAGATATATGCATATTGTTTATAATACATCTTTATTTTTTTTTATTTGAAATAATGTTCTACCAACTATGAGTTTTTATATTTAGTATCACCAAAATAGTTAATAACTTTAATGTCAAGTTTAAATTTAATAATAATCTATCTACTATTTATATAATAGAAATTAAGTAAGGTAACAAAGTTAAAGATATTAAAGTTAATAATTAAATTCAATTTAACAATATTACTAATAATATTGAACTTTTTCTGAATAATTCTAAAGATATTATATGTTATATAAAAGCAGAAAATAGGTTTTTTGAAAATTATATTTCTGATAATGTTGATAAAACATACTTCATTGTATACTTCTCTTCTTTAAATTAATTTTTTTATTTGTATTTGCACTATGTAACTGCAATATTTTTTTTATTTGTATACTATTTCAGTAATTTTTTTATAAAATAAAAAAGAGGTTTAGTGGGCTTGCCATTTTTTATTTTATGTATATCTGAACAAAACTTAAATATATAACTAATAAAGTATTAATTATTTTTTTATAAACAAATTTTTATTTGAAGAATTAATATTATATTGTTATTAATATATATGAATTGAATAATATTTTAATTTTATATAAGTTTACTAGTATTTAAATCATAATAATAACTTTTATCATTATAAGAAAAACTACAAAAGCTCCTATCATCCTTATTATCATCTTTGTTGTTATTATCAGATAAATCTTCACTATCAGATATAATAACATTTTTATCACAAGAATTTTCATTACCAAAAAGGATCCAAGTTAAAATCTAAAAAATTATCAAATTTAGGCACCAAAAGTGCACGTGTGGCTAGTTGTAACCTCCAATGTAAGGTAAGCCCTTGGTGGCACGCTGTGTCCTAATATACTTGAATAAAAACATTGCAACTCCCAAGATAGGGACTTTAACTTAAAAAAAAAAAAATAAAAAAATTATCAAATGTACTTATATGTATCTTGACTTCAGTTATTTTATTAATATCAGAAAAATTGCCAGAGACAATTACTATGTGGCTAGTATTTTGAGTTGTATTATTAGGTGAGGCTTTAGTATCTGAAACACATACTTCAGTTTTAGCTAAAAATATAACTTTTTTACTTATATCATTAATCAAATTGAAGATATAGGACAATGAAGTAGAAGGAGTAAATGTAGTACTTGTTTCTGTTTTTAGTAAAGTTTTATTGTTTTAATCATTTCTTAAAAAAACAATTTTTGAATTCACCTGATTTATAATATACTGAATTTGTGCATTAGTCAATTTTGAAATCTTATTTGCACTATATATAACTAACTTAATTTTATCTATTTCAACTTCTCTTCTTCTAAATAACATTTGAAGTTTTCTAACTCTAAGAGTTTTTTTGCATAATTTATCTTGGATAATATTAAGGAAAAAAGGTTTCATTTCTTTATAAATCATTATTTTTGCTGTCTTATCTTTGATATTGCTATCAAATATAATGATATGAATTTTATTTTTAAATTCAAGTGAATAATAGTACTAATTTAAGATTTTCTATTGTCAAGATTTGATTACTATCTTAAATAAATAAGAAAGATGTTTAGTTAAACTTTTATTTTTCAATACATTAATTTTAATAGAGCTAGTATTATTTATTATGAAATTAATAAGATTTTGTTTTTCAGTAAATAAATATAATTCATTTATTAAATCCTGTTTTATAATTTGATTTTTATCATATTCATTATCTTCAGTTTGATTGTTTCTAAATAATAGTTTTTGTATCACAAAATAAATTTGAATCTTGATCATTTTTTTGAAAAATAGGTTTTATATCATATAATAGATCTGAATCTTGATCATCTTTTTTTATAGAAAAAACCAATTCTTTATTGTCTGTTAAGTTCTAAATAACTGTTTCTTATTGTAACTTTTTTTTCTGTTTTTTTTTTTATTTCATTTCTAATCTATTTTTTTTGTATCTGTTCCAGAAAATTGATCTCTTTATCTTCAAAAAATATATCAAAATTTATTTTATAAGAAATAATGATCAAGGATTGATTATTTTCTTCTTTATCATCTTCTAATAATTTAGATTATTATTAATAGCATCAGAAAAATAGGTTTATAATTGTTTCTATTATAATTCTTGGATGGGTGATGAATTGAAGAATATCTCTCTAATGAGTCATTGAATCTCTAAGATTACCAATGATTCTAAACAAGCTAAAAACTGTAAAATATCTTCAATAAGAGATGCATTCTATTCATTAATATTAACTTAGAATTGCAATTTGATTTTCTCAATAACATGTCTTAATTTCATTACTTCAGCTTTAAGTTTAGCATTCTCAATATTATGCTTGAAATTCTCAGCCTCAAGATCAGATTTTTCTTTTATAATTTGCCTAACTTTCTCATTTTCAACCTCAAGCTTAGTGATACAGTTTTTCAACAAATCAAATTCAGAATGCATGTTTGATAATATTTTTATAAGATATATATTTATTCAAAACTTATTTAATAAAATTACTTTTACCAAGAAATATTTTTGTTTCAAAGAAGCCACTTTTACCAAGAAAATTCTCGATCATATGTAAGTTATACATCGATAGCAATACAATAAAATAAATTCACAAAATATACATATACACAAAAGTAAACATGATTCTGTATGTGAAATCAATCATTAGGGCCAGCTTTATTAATAATTGACTATACAGCAATAATAATGACATGCTAAAAAATAACATAATAAACTACAGCATTTGTTTAGTTTGATTTATACCCTTTATTAAACCAACATACAGTACATGCTATCACATATTTATTAAATTTTATAATCAATAATTTTACTACTCCTTCATCTTATATATCTTTGAAGTTAGATGTTTAATTATCTTCATAGTTTCTTGACCTTCTCCTATTACAGGATCAACCCAAGCAGATAATAAATGTTTAAGGCTATTTGTGAGATCACTAACTTTGACTGATGATGAGGCTGTGAAAACTGGTGTAGACTGCACCAGGCAATTGTAAATGCTTGAAGATAGTCCAAATAATCCAAGTGAGGTCTGAAAATGCACTCAAAATGCTTTGATTTCAGCACTTGAAGCACTTGAATATTCCTTATTTTAAGTCTAATCTTCTTAACAAATTCTTTTCCTGTTTCCTTAGTATCCGTTTTATAATCTTCTAATACTTCTGCAATTTTACATTTGCATGAAGTCATATTAGATGTTTCAGTAAACTTTGACAGAATGTCAACTAATTCTGATTTTGCACCTAATTGCAAATACAATAACAAAAATAGCATATATAATAGATCTTCAATGCCTATATAAGCTAGTGACAGACAAGTAGTTGCAGACTTTAAATACCCATAATCTTTGTTATTAGTAGCATGATTTTTAATTTGTATTAATATGTATGATATTTGATCTTCATTAAACTTTTTGTTAAGAGTGCCCATATATAAAGGTATTATAATATCTCTCTCTGCTGATTTCATTTACATGAATATGCAATACCATGAATCAGAACATTCCTGTGATCTTTTCTTTTCAAAGTATATGTAATATTGATAAAGTGTGTAAACTTAATATAAGCTTCACTGAATTTTCTTCCTGTAAACTTTACTGTCT